GGACCTACCGTAAAGTCGTCAAGCATACCGTTGCCAACATGCTTTGTGAGGTGAGCATATAATAAAACATCGGAGACAGCCCCTGGAGCAGTAGTAGTAGTAGTAGTAGTAGTAGTAGTGGTAGTAGTAGTACTAGCAGCAGTAGTGGTAGCAGTAGTACTAGTAGTAGTAGAAGTAGTAGAAGCATCAGTAGCAGTGGCAGCAACAGCAGCAGCACCAGCAGGAGCAGCAGCAGTAGTCGCAGTAGTAGTAGTGGCAGTGGCAGTGGTAGTGTTAGTGGTAGTGGTAGTGGTCGTTGTCGTAGGACTAGTTTCAGCAGTAGTAGTAGTTGTAGTAGTAGTAGTAGTAGTAGTAGTAGTAGTAGAAGTAGGAGTGGCAGTAGCAGCAAGGAGCAGTAGCAGCAGCAGTAACAGTAGCAGCGGTAGGAGTGCAGCAGTAGCAGCACGAGTGACAGGCAGTAGTTACATCCTACACAACGACTCCCCATAGCCGAGGGAGTATAGTGCCGGTTTGAAGACTTCCCAGGAAGCCCGATATTCCCGCAGTAAACGGTATACCTTACACTTCTACCGCGAGGGTTCCTTCGAGATGCGAGACGGCGACAGGCGGAATCTTGAAGATTTTGCTCAGGGTTTAGGGTTTAGGGTCTGTATGCAAAGCCTAGGCTTGAACTTGATGAACGGCATATATGAAGCGACATGGCTACAAAAGATCTGATGAGAACCTGCAGGGAATGCCAATCAGCAGTGAACGTACTGAAAAGCACGAAAGTCTAATGTGGGGGCCTTGATGATTAGAATAGGGTTCTGGCGCCTGTTATACTCGAACTAAACTATGAATAAGGAACCGCCAAAATAGTATAGGTAATTATTATTCACCTACATTACTCATACTCAGTATGACACTCACAATCTTAATGGTATTGACGATAATACAAGCGGAGTAATGATGAGTAATGGTGAGGACGATTCTCGACACGGTACTTATCGTGCAAAACACTGCAAGCTCCGTCTGACACTTCCAGCCGTGACTTTTATCTTCTGACAACCTGGAAAAACTCACTGGCATGCCAAATGTTGTTGAGAAGTACTAAGACGTATCAAACAACCCCAAGCCATCCCACCCCAAACCAAACACCCGAGACAAAAACACATCACGGTAAACCGTCGGCCACGCACCGTAAACCAGAAACCCCGAACATTCGGATCAAAATCTAGCCACGTCCAAAGTCAAAGGGAATACTAAGAAGTCAGGAGCTAAAGGAATGCCAATGAACCTCAAGGAGGTTTCAGAATAGGGTTTTGGCGGACGTATCCTGAATTACAATTGGGAGCTAGAAGTGATGATGATATTGCGAAGTATTCAAGGTCCGATGTTTAGGGGACCCCTAGAAGGGACACCTAATCCAAGTACCCTATATAACCCTTTGATACCCCTTATATAGTCTCATAAAGCCCCTATACAACCCCAAGGGTCCCTTTCAGGGTCCCTCCCTAAATCCTAAACCCCTAAACCCCCTAAACCCCTAAACCCCTAAAGCCCTCAACCCCTAAACCCCCAAACCCTAAGACCCTTGAGATGTTGCCTAAGAAGCCCCAGGCAATGCGAAGATTACGAGTAGCGAGCCTTCGATGGCCTTCCCCAAGCCGACCAGCTCCGTGTCTTCCTACAAGGCTCTTCGGGTTTTGGGGGGGTTTTGGGTGGTTTAGGGCTCAGAGGGTTTAGGGTTTAGGGTTTGGGGTTTGGGGTTTAGGGCTTACAGGGTTTAGGGTTTAGGGTCTTTTAGGGTTTGGGATTGCTGTTTGGTGTTTTACGGGGGTGCCTGACTATAACTCTTTAGGGTTTTGAGTGAAGGATGCCGAGAATCCTGCGGCCCTGATGCAAGAAACTCCTTCCAATCTAAGATTGAGGGTTTAGGGTTTTAGGGTTTAGGGTTTTGGGCTGAGGGTTGAGAGGTTCAGATCAGGGCCAACGCATCTAGCCCAGCATCATGCGGGAACTAACTGCTCATCCCAACACCCCCATCCAAAATCAGGAGCAAGACACAAGCCGCACTCGACGCAAGAAGCCCAGTATCATGTGCAGCTCAGCTGCTTATGCCAGCACACCGAATCCAGCATCATGAGCATCAGCTGCCCCCCCCAGGTCACAAGCGGCGGCCACTCCCAATGCAATGAGGCCAGCATCATGAGCTATTCCAAGCACACCTACTTGCCCTTCCAAGAGCACCAGCTGCTAATCCCCAGGCCCCACGCCACAAACGTCATGAGCGCCAGCCACCCTTCCGCAAGAACCAAACTGCCAATCCCGACACCGCAAATCCAGCATCACGAGCATCAGCCGCCCTTCATCCGTGACGAGCTGCTAGTCCCAACACCCAAGGCCAGGTTCTGCGACTTCTTGGCTTCGTGGGCTTAGGGCCTGAGAATTATAAGGTTTGGGACGAGATGTTCATGGTGTTTCCTTGGCAAAGCTCCGTGGCCTCAATAGGGTGTGTATCGGTGGTAAAGGTTTTGGTTTACCCTCATCCCTGAACCCTAAACCCTCAACTCTGCCCTAATAATGGCTTCAGGGCTTAGGGTATTGGGGTTGAGGGCCTAAGGCTTTAGGGCCTCACTGTTTACCGCTTGAGGCCCTAACCTTTATAGAGAAATCGCGCTGAAGCTCCAATATGGAACCCTGAATCCTAAAACCCTACCTTTACCATAACTTTGAACTTTGCTTGTGTAGGACCCTTAATGTTTGCTTGTAGATCACGAGGTGCAGAGGAACCCACGGAAAATACTCGCACTTCCAAGGACACAAGCAGCCACTCCCAACCCAACAAGCCCAGCATCAGGAGCATCAGCCGCCGTTCCAAAGACACAGGAAACGACTCCCAACCCAACAAGCCCAGCATTCATCAGCCGCCGTTCCAAAGACACAGGAAACGACTCC